CGAAACAATGAAAATGTAGCCTGATACTGCTTAGTGCTTATCAAATGATTAATGTCAATGAAGAAAAATCCCTAAGACTGTATATCTTTTCTAGTTAAGGAAGGACCAACCAAACCTTACCTTCTTTCCATAGGAGTCATGCACTGGAGACATGAGTCCAGCCACCACTTGGTACTTGCCCATTCTATGAAGGTAGTCTCTGGCTATCTCTGTTGGAAGAGACAAGTTTGGGCATTGCTGCATCAGATAACCATGAACACTAAACAGCTTATAACCAACATTAATGATGAAAGTGATATATTGGTTGACAGCACTTGTTTAGCCAATTATTCATCCTAGGGCCGCAGAGCTGACTTGAGAAAAAAAACTATGTAGGTACAAATGTAGGCATTCTTTTGCTGGGACCTAGGAGAAAACAATTTTAAATATGAAAACAATTAACCCGCGCCCCGTAGGGCTACCGGCGGACCCTACCACCCGTAGGGGGGGGGGGGGGGGCGTTTCGGCCCCCCCTTAAGATCTCGGAAAGTTACCGGCCGATTTTCAAAATTCAAACGGCGTTTGATAGCCCTACCCGGGAACTACCTTGTGACCAAATTTCATTGACCTAGGTCAAACCGATGACGTCACAGGTCAGGTCAAAGGTCAGATTTTCACCGTTCACAGGCAATTCAAGAAATGTGCTGTGAAATCGAGTAAATTGGTAATTTATTGAAAACCATCGATGGTATATTGTTCGTCAAACACATACTTTGCTATCTGAGGTCACTGATACCAGGTCAGGTCGCAGCGAGGTCAGGTCACCGGGGGTCACAATATGAATGTGTCGTGTGATACATGTTTTATGGTCAATTTTACATGACAAATGCGATTATGTGGGTTAGGCAGCCTTTGGGGCCAGCCTAGGTCACGTTTTGGTGAAGGTCAGGTCAAGGTCAGGTCAAATTAGGTCAAATTTCAAAGTTGATATTTTTGCATAAAATGGGTATCCATTCGATGCAGCTCGTCACGGGGAGTCTAATGGTGGTCTTTGTTTTGCTCTACGAATTCTAGAATTGCCAAAAATTGAGTTTGAAAATTTGACGTCATCATTTTTGAACAGTTTTTTCGCTATAACTTGGCCAAAAAACGAGGTATCGATCTGAAATTTGGTATGTAGATAGAAGACGGTAGGTACTATCACATGTATTCCGGTTTTTTCGAAACTCAAAAAACTTTTTTGATTTTTTGGCTAATATATAAAAAAATGCTTTTTTGATTTTTGGGGATCAAAACTCAAAAATTTCAAAAATCCGAGATAGCAGTTTTGTAGCCCTGTCAATTCTACACCTTTTATGTCTTGATCATTTTTTCTGTATCTTCAAAGCTGTAGGCCTGACAGGTCTTCTCGCGAAGGTCTTTTTTCGGTCGAAAATGACAGAACATGACGTCACTCTGACGTCATTTGTGGCCAACCTATCACAGCCTCTGGAAAAAATTTTTGGTCACAATGTGTAAAATTGATGCCCGGAGGGGTCCTGAAAGTTTGGTAGCGATATCTTAAGCCGTTTAGGAGATATCGACCGAAAAGGACAGGGGGGGCCGTTTCGCCCCCCCCCCCTACGGGGCGCGGGTTAAGTGAAAAAGACAGCTAGTCATATTACAAACCAAGCCACAAATACTCATTGGCATTACCAAATATCCTTAGATGCATATGGGTTGGTGGATTGAAGGACCCACAGGCAAGAAGAATTATCTTCTTTGGGGTGGTCATGTTGTCTTGTTCCCTTTGCTTCAGGAAAACTGCAGCATCTGCAAACATTGCAGAAATTGAATTAACATGTTTAAACACTACTAGCTATCAAATCACTACAGATCAAGTGACACTGATGAAAGCATGGGCATCTATTTCACTCTATCATGCATGTCATTTGCAGCAAGTCTTCCTGATCATTGGAATGGAAATGGAATACTGGTCTACTCTAATATCATGAGCATCAATTTGCAATAGTAGATACCTACTACCTATCATGACTGGTAGTTCAATGTGTTACTTTGTACTAAGAGGGTGTTTGATTTAAGTGGCTTGTCCAACATTGCATAGGTACACAGAAATATGTCATATACGATGCATTTTTAGTGGGATAGTGACTAGTGCTGGGCTGTCATTTAATTGGTAATGTGATGAGCCTAGTCAGTCTCAGACCAGACTGCAAAACAAGGTATCTCATGTCAACACAATCTCATTGGTGCAACAGAGACACACAGCTGGTGTGCTGTGTCAGTGTGGTGTGGATTTATTGTGGTGTGGTAGCGGTGCAGGTTTAGAGTGGAGTGGTGGAGGCTAACTGGGTGCCATGCAAAACTGCTGTTCTGACATAGTTATCAATGGAAATCATTAATCTGAAACATAAATGGTTAGCCAAGTGCAACTTGCCCTCTCATTGCAATTTTCTCCAAAAACAAATGTTTCATGAGTTTGTGGGAAGATTTATACTTACTTACTTACTTATACTTATAAAATGCGGAATTTAGGAAGGCCTTTTGGCCTCTTGGATCCGGACGTGACGAGCTTTGTGTCAGTGTGTCACTGCATCAGTCGTTGGAATGTATGGTGTACTTGGCGTGAGCCCAGTGTTCGTCAAGCCTGGCCTTGAAGCTATTGACTGAGGGCGCATCGACGACAGCGGATGGCAGAGAGTTCCAGTCGTTCAGGACTCGTATGCTGAAGGCGTTCCGCCGCACTCTGGAGACAGCTCTTGGCTTGGACAGCTTCCACTCATGCCCTCGAGTTCTGGTCGTCGTCGCCGCAGTGAAGAACTGAGATGGGTCAACATCCACTCCCCGTCGAAGCACCTGGTAAACCGAGATCATGTCGCCTCGTCGGCGCCGATAGTAGAGCGATGGCAAATTCAGGCTCCGGAGTCTCTCCTCGTATGGCAGGTGGCGGATGCTGGCAACCATCATTTATAAGCTGTGTTTGGTGAAACCCCTTTAGGCAGGTGCAGATTTCCAGCCTGGTTGATGTCAGCTGGTGGCTGGTGCATATTTGTCACCCTGGTTGGTGAAGCTCATCAGCCATGCTACCATGCTTTGCATTTATAGGCTGGGCCTGAACAGGGAGCCTAGATGTTTGGAAGCCAAATCAAAGCTGTTATTGTTTACATGAGGCGACAACACCAAAAAAAAAAATTGAAAGGCCACACACAGACAAGATCAATATACATTGATATAGAAATAAACATAGGTAACACAATCAACACAGCACTGGTGACATCATAGCTTCTACTACAGTGATATCTAGGTGGTGTTTCAGGACAGAGCGCTGCAGTGCGCTGCACGCGTCAACATGTTGGGTATCCATGGAAACATCACAAACTTGGAAGCCTCGCAATGCTGAAGCGTCAAGCCAAATTAGTCTTGAAAGCCCACAAACACCGCACCAGCACGCTGCGCGGCTGCAGCTCATGCTGTTCGGATAGTGAAACAGGGCTCTAATTTACAGTAGGTAACCTAACCACCACAAGACTGATGCTGAGTTGATGCCTGATGACATCAGCACTTGCACTACTGCTAATATTTGCAATACCGATATATGTTGACTTCCACGTACCCAGCAAAAGTATGAAAAAACAAGGATTTGATATATAGATGGCCTTGGATTTAATCACATCAAAGGTTAACAATTTGCAGCAAAACTTGAACAATTTCAACCAATCGATGCAACACCGCAACACCAAAAAATAATTATGCAAAAAAGAAGAGTGTGGCTTTTGCCAAATTCAAGGTCACCAGCTTCAAGGTCATCGAATCACAATGGGAATAAAAGCGCTGCAAATTATTTGTAGCTCAATGGCATGCACAGCACATAACACGAATAGCAAAATCAATTGGAAATTATCGTAAGTAGATGCTAAAAAAGTAAATATTTTTACTCATGGTCAGTAACTATCTTTTTTCACTTTTTAACAGCAACACGGCCTTTTGAGAGTGCCATTAGGTAGTAGTTACATCATACCTATCATAAGGTTTGATCGATAAACAACGTTTTATTTTCGCAGATATTTACACAGTCTTGCGAAACTGTTATCTTAGCTTTAACAGGATTTCATTTAAAAAATATTAGGAAATCGAACAAAGCAAAATTACCAGCAAAAAAAGGTATTTTTACAAAAGACGGCTTAGCGTATGATAGCCAGGCTGACGGAAATAAGCAGCAAAGTAGTAAGATCACAAATAGGGTTCATATACTGCGCTCTAGTGACAAAATTGAGCATTGAATGTGTTGTGATATTGGACGTGATATCACATAAGATAGTACTCTGAGGGGTATTTATTTACTTTAGGACCGGCAGCCTTTACTTGCGTCGCGAACCCCAAGTGATAGTAAGAAGCATATCACATGACATAATTTGACCTTTTGATTTCATAGCTGATAGTCATTCATGGCACAAACAAGTTTAAATGCACCAATACAATATTTACCGTCACCGCCGTAGATCCCCACCGAATGCGTACTCCACCGGCCACGCACTGCGCTCCAAGACTTAGTGAATACACATTAACGATAATATTCAACTGTGAGGAAAGTGACGTCATGAAATTTCTCGTCGCGAAGCAGCGGCAGTGCCGAAGGCAATGCCTTAGGAGAGATTACAGGCAATGGTAGGTCAAATATTTTTAGGTTAAGTGGTTGTGTATTTGGCTTCAGGCCGAAGGCCTGAAGCCTAATGCACAATCACTTAACCTAAAAATATTTGACCTACCATTGCTTGCAATCTATTCATGCGAGCAACTTTTTCCTTATCCCCGGGTAGGCAAATATCAGTAGGTCAGGTTAGGTAAGGTTAGGTTATGTTCTGATAATTTTTTCCGTGTTTAATTTGCTATCCTACCCCATTTGCTCCCCCACCCAAAAACCCCGGTTCCCAACCTTTTCCCTGTTTTGTTTGGTATTATGACGTCATTTTCATTGAATTAAACATGCACACATTTTTCCTTTTCGCAAATGGCAACGGCGTCAACACGTTGTTTATATCCTAATCGCCGCATTCGTACAATGTCGTCCATAATCATTTCGTCGGTGCCTATATATGGCCTTGCGTCGGTGTACGTTACGTGACGCGGGGTGAGATGGCTGGATTTTATCAAGTTTTTGTGTGACTTTTTGCAGTTTTGGTGACATGTAAGTATCATTTCTTGATTAAGGATGTCAAATAATGGAAGATTGTCGAAAATTTCCCTTTGAAAAAGCGTGCCGGTCCTAAAGTAAATATTTACCCTTTGAGGTCCAGTTTTGAGGTTTGTTTTTGCTTTCAGTCTTGTGTTTGAAATCGATGACATTGTTTCATGGATATTTTTCGGTTTTGGTGATTGGCATAGGTTTTTGTAGCATTCGAATGTAGACCGATCACTCAGACGTATGGTTTGGTCATTGGTGATGTTACATAATAGACTATCCTATCACTATACCGATACTGACTTGTGAGGCTTCGGTCAGCTTTAATGGAAAGTGTGAATGTCTAACGTCAATTCAGTCTCTTTGGAATAAAGTGCCTTCAGGAATAAGAGACCGATTTGGGCAGTGAGATATTTGGGAACTCCGGTCCCAAAAATGGGAAGTGGGAACGTTCCTATATTTGGGTACTCATGACCATAGTTCTGCCTACTGAGGGTATAGTGAAGTGAAGGTCAAACCTGGACTGAAACACACTTTATCTTCTCAGTCTCTAGGCTTCATGGAAGATGAAATGGTACTGATATGAGAGCTATAAGTATAATGTATATGGAAATTGGAACAATTGTATATGCTTAACACCATTGCTGCAGGGAATTAATGCCTTTCATGTTATTTGCATCTGCATGGTATTTTTCTTTCAGCTTTTTATTTTCAGATATCTTCAGCAAGCAAACATGTCCTTTGATCTGAAGTCAGAGAAGGATGTAAAAGAATATGTTGAAAATTTGGGCATTGAATATAGATTTGGATGTTATAGTGAAAAGAAACCTGAAAGTGAGTTGTTTCTACATTTATGAATTATAACTAGTGCCTCTGCTTACTGCTAAATCACCTGGTATAATGTAATGTGTTGCTCTGTAACTATATTTTGTTTAAAAAATGCATAGAGCTTAGTGTTATTGCTGTCTGCTTTTAGCACAATGTAGTAAGTCCATTTCACTTTTGTTTTGTTAATTTTATTTCTTTTTTTTAGTTCATTCTTATCAGTTTTTATATGTTGCATGATTGGGGTTGTGTTTGATGGATAAGTGTACCTACTTGACGCAGAATTGCCACTGGGGCGGGAGTGGGGCCGTGGGCATGGATAGACAAAGCATCATAGATATCAGATGACCTAGAGCTGGCATTCAAATGCATGATTGATGATTGCTCTTGTTAATACAAAGATCAACAATGCTTATTGCTCATCATGGAAGCATTTTGTGATCTGTGTTCAATTTGGTCATTTTAAGTGGATAACCCAGCTGATGCCTCCCAGGCTGTCACCTATTGGCCGACTACTTTGAGGGGATTAAGAAGGACTTTGAGCGAGCAGCAATAGTCTACAAGAGCACATGCGACGACTATGGGTTGGCTGAAAGCTGCCACAAGTATGCCTCATATGCGTTCACGGGCAAAGGCTGCAAACAGGACGTGGAAGGTGCGATGCGCTACTTCACGCGCGGCTGCGAGGCCGGCGGTATGCAGTCGTGTCTGAACGCGGGCCTGATGCACCTGACGGGCGCCACTTCCAACGGCCAGACCAAGGACGTTCCACGAGCCTTGGAGCTCATCGAGAAGAGCTGTGCCGGCAACAACCCGACGGGCTGCTACTACCTGTCCGGCCTCTACATCAGCGGCGTCAAGGGCCACCACGAGAAGGACATGAAGACGGCGTTCCGGCATGCCCTCAAAGCCTGCGAGCTGGGCAACATGTACGCGTGCTCGAATGTCAGCCAGATGTATCGGAAAGGCGACGGCGTGGAAAAGAACGAAAAACTGGGCGCCGAGTTCAAGCAGCGTGCTTTGGACATGCAGGAGCAGGTCAAGAGCCAGCTCAATGTCGGCTTCCAGCAGGGTGCCGAGGGATCATGATCCCGGTGTGGTTGGCTTTGTAGTTTCTGTTTGTGATAAATGTGAATGCAACGAATTTTTGTTGTACATGGCCTAATCAGAATGTTACATTCTGATCATTTTAAGCAGTCAATAGCGTTGTTGCTTGTTATTGTTTAATGAACGCAACATTAAGACGCTTTATTGCCGATGATATAAGTCACTGGCTGTAGTCGAGGAAATCCAACAATAATAAACAAAACATATGTTCTTTGTTTTTTTTTTTACTGCACCATTTTTCGTTTTCGCTGTTTTTAACGGAACCAGGGCAAGAAACAGAACATGACGTAAGTCGTGGAACATCGCACGAAGGCTCGCTAGCTTAGGGGGCAAATAAAGGACCGCATCAATGAACTCGAATTGATTCGAGTTCTGAGTACAGCGTGAACGTCACATTTAACATTCTACTAGTTTCTCCTTTCTCGTCGGCTATCCACTGATCCAATAAAGATGCAAAATCACACGAGAGCTAGCAAAATCAAAGACGCTGTCGATATTTTTAGGATTCGCCGCCGGAGAACCGCCGCCCTGCCCCAGTGATGGTGCCGCCGTGGTAACAGGGTCGCGCTGACCCAGTCTGCTCGGGAAGCCCTGGCTCCACCGATCGCTGATTGTTCCCTCCGTTCCCGGCTCCGTCCGTGGCGACGCTAATGAAACCGCGGTCCCCACCCAATGAGCCATCGTCAGTCTTCCCGGTGAATTGCCCGAACCAGGCACCGAGGTCAAAGTGTGTGACGTGCACCCGAAACACCCATGATGAAGTTCGCTACTCAGTTCAGGCAATTGATTGTTTCCGTGAAAATGTTTGGTTTATGTAGGTACACAAACTGCGCAAACTACCTAATACCTATTTTTACATGGTGTCTTGATGCTTCTTCTCTACATAAATGCACGTGAGAACTTCCGGGAATTTCATTGAGCGGTTGCGCCCGTTGCGCTACTGGCATTTTAACCCGCGCCCTGCTGGGGGAGGGGCAGGGGCAGATCCAGGAAAACTCCAAAGGGAGGGTCATGAATCGAAGTGGTGCCCCTACCCTATACCCAAAATTAAAAACTCAACGGATTTCGTCCACTTCATTTTGGTGGTGCCCCCATTTTCAGTTTTTTTATTTTTAGTCAGTATCTTAGCTCTTAGCCACAACCACATTTACCAATTGTAAGCAAGTATATATGAATGTGCTATGTGTATATATGTTGTGGACGCTGAGTAGTGAGTACTTACCAGGAACGTTATCAGGTAAGCAAATCGTTGTCAGTCCGACGAACTTGACCCTGGCGTCTAAAGGGTCTGTCCTTGACACTTCAGGCTTGTCAGGGGGCAGGGGCACCAAAGTCCTTCCAGGGACACCACAAACCTGTCAGGGGCACCTACGGCCTTGTAGGGGCGCCACAGGCCCGCCAGGGACACCACAGGCCTGCCAGGAAGCAGGGGCACCACAGGTCTAGCAAGTATACACGACAGGCCTGTCAGGGGCACAACGGGCCTGTTGGGCCCATGAGCACCCCTAGGGGCAGGGGCACCACAGTCCTTCCAGGGGCACCGCAGGCCTGTGAGGGGCACCAGCGGCCTAGTAGGTGCACCAGTCAACACAGGCCTGCCAGGGGCACCACAGACCTGCCAGGGGCACCAGAGGCCTGCCAGGAGCACCACCGACCTCGCAGGGGTAACATGGGCCTGTCAGGGCCCAGGGGCACCACGGGCTTGTCGAGAGGCACTTCAGGCTTTTCAGGGGCGCCATAGTCCTCTCCGGGCGCAGGGGTAGCAGGGGCACCAGAGGCCTGCCAGGGGGCACTACAGGCCTAGCAAGGGCACCACTGGTCTATCAGGGGCACCACGAGCCTGTCATAGCCAGGCATCTCAGGCTTGTCAAGGCCCAGGGGCACCACAGGTCTGTGAGGGGCACCAGCGACCTAGCAGGGGCACCAGTCAACACAGGTCTGCCAGGGGCGCCACAGACCTGCCAGGGGCACCACAGACCTGCCAGGGGCACCACCGGCCTCGCAGGGGCACCTTGGGCCTGTCAGGGGCACCACGGGCCTGCCGAGGGGCACTTCAGACTTTTCAGGGGCACCAGTCCTCTCCGGGCGCAAGGGCACCAGAGGCCTGTTAGGGGCACCAGAGGCCTGCCAGGGGCACCAGCGGCCTAGCAAGGGCACCAGAGGCCTGCCAGGGGCACCACAGGCCTAACAAGGGCACCACGGGCCTGTCAGGGGCACGGCACCTCAGGCTTGTCAGGGCCCAGGGACACCACAGTCCTTCCAAGGGCACCACAAGCCTGTCAGGGGCACCAGAGGCCTGCCAGGGGCACCACAGGCCTAGCAAGGGCACCACTGGCCTGTCAGGGGCACCTCAGGCTTGTCAGGGCCCAGGGACACCACAGTCCTTCCAGGGGCATTACAAGCCTGTCAGGGGCACCAGAGGCCTAGCAAGGGCACCACAGGCCTGCCATGGACACCACAGGCCTGCCAGGGGCACCACCGGCCTTGCAGGGGCGCCTCAGGCCTGTCAGGGGCACCACGTGCCTGCCGGGGACACTTAAGGCTTGTCAGGGGCGTTACAGTCCTGTCAGGGCCCAGGGGCACCAGGCCCGTGGTGTCCCTGTTAGGCCTGTGGTGCCCCTGGCGGTCCTGTGGTGCCCCTGTCAGGACTGTGATACCCCTGATAGGCCGGTGGTGCCCCTGGCAGGTCTTTGGGCCCCCGGGCCTCAAGGGGGGGGGGCATGACCCATGTGACCCCCCCTTGGATCCGCCCCTGGGGAGGGGAGGGGGTTGAACACCTCGTGCGATTTTTGGCACACCTTACCATGCATCTTTTTTTGCACATATTGGGAAATTTTAGAGTAAGGTCAGGCCAGTAGGTCACGTCAAGTGACCTCACCTCAGAAAAAAAGTTGTCATGCTTGCCATGCAGCTACACCGAGTGAGGATCCCTTGAACATTCAGCGATTATAAGAACAGCTGTATGTTCAAAATGTTTATCTCGGAATTGTGATATCGGTGACCTATGGTCAGGTCAATTTTGCGCCCTGTCGATTAGGGATAAGTCAATGGGAGAACCCCTTTTAGACGAACGTCATTCGAACACCGAAATATAAGTGACCATGACACGTTGAACCAGAAAATGACACATGTGGCCCTTTCGTACCTATGTCCCTGAGGTCATCTCGGGTCACGAATGGTGTCCAACAGTTTTTCGCCAATGCCTAGGTACATACCTATCTATTGATAGTAAAACGCTACAGCGATGAAAACGCTTTAGATATGTGACGATACGGATCATGACGGTACGGATCGACTGATATGCAACACGACCTTTTCCGGTCAGATCACGGGTCATGACCGTTTGACCTAACATCAAATTTTTAAGCTGACCTTCCAAGGTCAAAGTACAATTTATTCTAAGCGTCCCGTCGAGAGGAGCACTGTGGTGGTAAAAGTGAGCGCGCGCAAGTTTTGAGTCAAAACTGTTAGTTCAAGAAACGTCTATTTTGACTGTTTTTGCCCCTGAGTAGGGTAAGGTGCATGCCTAATTAGCGACCCCCTTAATTTGAACCGTCATTGCTCACGCTCTGTGGGTGCCACTGTGTTATTGGCCTGATTTTCGGAGAGATCGTTCATTTTTCTATTAAAATATAGTCATTTTCTGCCCCAATAGGTATTCACTAACTTATTTGTAGTGAGCATTTTTGGCAAACCATTGCAAAAAACGCTAATAGGGAACTCTTCCCGATTAGCGACCGGGGAGGGTCGCTAATAAGTCTATGGGTTTCCCCATATTAAAAATGGCAAAAAAATGCGACGCCGGAAAAGATGAAATATGATCTCAAAAAGATAACCTATACGCAAAGCACTCAATCACTCGAACAGGAACGTTTATCCAACACATTTACGTGAGTAAAAACTGATTACGTGATGCACCGAAGGCGAAAAGAAGGCGGAAACCCACGTTTTGCGGGCTATCTTGTATGATATTCGAGGTCCGCCCTGAATTCGGCACACCTGCAGTCGGTGACGACATTTGGCATCCCCTGCCACACATTGCAAGCTTCAGCAACACCTCATTTTCATTTCTCTCTTTTCCCCTTTCTTTCCCTTCTTGAGCTATTTGCGACCATGTCAGGCGCAAATAGGAAATATGAGTTGCGACACATTTTTAACCGCCATGCTGTGCACAGTTGAGCGATTCACTATGGGAAAACGGCAATCGATTAAAAAAGGAATGTCGAATCAGAATAAAAAAGGTGCATCATCCTAATGTGCATCGCTTTTCATCAGAGAGGGCCCAAACACACACGTTTTGGATAAGAAATTCGTCATTTTCATTTAACCCTCGCCCGCACATGCCATTTTCCCATCCTAGAACGCACATGGGGGGGGGGGTGGTTGCCACCCCCCCCGCGCCATTTCGTTCCTGTTGGAGATAGAGCTTAGCAGTAAAAACCAAAAAGATTCTTTGGGAAGAGACGAATCCAATGATACCCAGTTTTACCTTCTCAGGTCAGTCATTGACCTTCCAGGTCAGGTCAAACTAAAAAATGTTGCTGTTTTGGGTCACCGTTGGATATCAAGTGCGCTGCTTATCAAATACCGATGACGATGCTGTTTTCTGGTGCCAAGCCAGCTAGAACCTCTTTGTCACACTATCCGACCAGAATTTTGCTGCTGAGGTCATTTCAGGTCAAGTTAGGTCAAGGTCAATTATATGTGTTTGTATGTCTGTGTGTGTCTGTGTGTATACTGATGTGTGCACCGATTGTTTTTGGGTCCATATCACATGAAGTCATGATCTGAGAAGCTTTTACCAAAAATGCAGTCAAAAAACTTCAAAAAAAGTAAATTCAGCTTGCCTAAAACGCAATTATCTTAGATGACCTAGGTTGACCTTGACCCTGACCTTGACCCCTGTACATCGTCGAACAACACGTTCCATGATAGGTGGGAGGTAAGACTGGCAAAAAAGGCCGAAATCAAGGTGTCAAAAGCTCACAAGACCCATGGCAAACGCAAGATGTTGAGAATTGGCCATTTGGGTCATGACATGACCTGACAAACAAGGTCATATCTCCGAAACCAAAAATCACAGAAACTTGAAATTTTCAATGGACATCAAGAAAGGATAAACGAGCAGCTATACGAAAAATCAGCCTTCTAGCTCTAAAAATGTTGAGTGCAGAGCAGAAAGACTGCCTGGGGGGGGGGGGTGGCAACCACCCCCCCCATGTGCGGGCGAGGGTTAAACTGACCTGAAACGTCCCACCAGAAACATCGACGACCGGAAAATAATTTAATTTGATAACCAAAGTATGGCTGACCTTTTGACGATGCTTTTACCCCGTTTTCTCCTGCCAGTTTTTCTGTAGGGAGGTAGGTCGCAAATCGGAAAGGGTCGCTAATTAGGCACCTTACCCTACCGTAGGTCAAATTTGGGGGCAGGCTGGAAAAAACGTTAAAAGAGCTATAAAGTGCATTTTTCCGCGGCGCTGTAGCTCTATTCGTATTCGCCGCCGTGTGGCGGTTCACTACATGGTGGTTTCCATTGGCGGCGGAACGGGGAGGGCACCGGGGCACCGTGCCCCCCTTTGATTTTGGCATTTTAACAGTAGCCCTATGGGAGTTGCATGGAAAGAATGGGACCAAAAGTCGGCAGTGCCCCCTAAATTGAAGGTGTTCCGCCGCTACTGGTGGTCGCTTGTAGCCATGCAGGTAAGTCCAGTGCAATAAGTCTAGTTTAGTACAATAGGGTAACTGTGGGGAAAACGCACCCCTGGGTTAAACGCCTCCCCTAAAAAAATCGTATTTCTTATCGACGGATAGGTGTTTTATCCTGTCTTTCAGAACAGTCAGCTGCTTGTTTACGTAGGTCTCTATTTCCGGTTCTGCGTCTTGAGGAGCAGCGTGGGTAGGTGCTGATGTTGGTTTTGGGTGTTGTTTTTGTTGTTTTTACAGAAGATTCCTAAGATTTTGATGCCCTCTTTATATCACAAAACTTGCTATTATACACATCACTCAAAACTGCGTTTTATTGTCATTCTGTTGAATGTATTATGCTGCGGCGTTAGTGGCGCGTTTTTTGTCAATATTTTGTTGACCGGAAATGGAGTGGATGGGGCAAGACGCCTACTCGATGCATGGGGCAAGACGCCCCCAGTTTTCTGAAAGGGGGGCGTTTTGCACGGTGGGGAGAGTGCATGGTAGCGCCCTGTAGGTCGGGGTCGAAAAGGCCTCTCCCTGTCCTTTTTTGCTGATATATCCTAAACGACTGCAGATATCGTCACCAAACTTTCAGGACTCCTCCGGGCATCCATTTTACACATTGCAACAAAATTTTATTCCAAAGGCTATGACATGTTGACCACAAATGACGTCAGAATGACGTCAAGTTCTGCCATGTTCATCATTTTCTGTTGATGGAAGGGGTAGGGGCGCTTTGCACATGGGTGTGGGCGTATTACCCAGGGTATGGGGCAAAACGCCCTTTTGTAAGGGTATGCGAAAACTTTTTTGGGGGGTTAAATACCACACGCAGGTGTCTTTTCTTGGTCTCAAAGCGTAGTGAAAAGAATGAGCTACATGATGGTGCCCAAAGGTTTAAGTAATCTGTGTTGGGTTGAGTGTCAGAAGGTTTCGCGCTTAAGGGGGGCGTTTTTGACCTATTCACCCTAATGGTTAGGAATGAGTTCTACATGTTATAAATGTAGCAGTGATATGTAGCAGTGATGGTATCGACTTGCACTGCCGCCCTACACTAGGTAGGTACCATGGGCGGCGCCACCGGGGGGGACGGGGGGGACAGGTCCCCCGCTATCGAAAGTTAGGGGGGTACAGTACCCCCCTATCGGCGAGGCCCGTTCAATAGTTGATAATAATGCATTGTAGAGTTATCCGTCGCATTTAATGCATCGTTGGTTAATCAAGGCAGATTCTGAGTAAAGATTGCTGTTGGGATGTATCGCAGGGGGTCCTGGTCATCTGCAAAAGGTGCATGGAGCTGTGATGCCTGTAGTTATAAGGTGATCGGCAGCCGGCAGGGCCTCGGGGATCGTGCCCCCCCCCCTTCTTGGGGCGCCAGGCAGGGTTATTACCTCCCCACCCCACTCCACTGCCAGACCCCATTGCCGACAAAACCAAGTTTACTGAAATTCCATAGAGTTCCGTTACTATATGGATATTTTCCATTCCTAATTAGTCAAATTCAAGCATGGCAGTTCTACCACAGGAACTATTTGAAATCTATGCCATTTAAACCCAGCACTTGTGGGGACAAGTGTTCGGATAGATCACAGGCATGACCAAAAAAGCACGCAGTAGCCCAAGACCTTATAATTGGGTAGCATCGGCTCCCTCTCGTCAAGGGGTTCGATAGCACTCGTTTTTTTTTTCTGCAAAACTAAGCTCGGTCGGCGGCCGAACGGCTGGGGGTCTAATCGAGCCCCCCCCTCTCCCCTTCTTACGTCAGCGGCTGTGAAAATGCCATTACCAGCTGTTGAAACATGGCAGTTGCTTTTGCATGAGTGCACGAAAGGGTTTTAGGTACGTGATACGTGAAAGGTTCTACATGAAAATTGAGATACACCAGCTTACCAAATTGTGCTCACTGTGGTGCGCTCGGTTTTACCTTGACTAGTCTTTGAATTCTGGGGTGAAACAGACCAGTCAAGAAACCTGTTCCATAAGGAGAGCCACTAATGCTAAAGAGATGAGGGATGAGGTTTCCAGAGACCTTCATTACCTCCCAAAGGGGGTGCCCCGCCATTTGCCAATCCCTGCTGTAGTTGTTACGATTGGAGGGTGAATATGAGAACGACTGCAGGTCGTGCCAGCTCGATCATGACGAACACAATGGTGCCGACATCACAGCTCTACTGCCATTTTTGACGAAGTTAATCAACAAGGACCGGAATCCTACCCTGGGGCATTTCACCTGCAGAGGTCGCCGGACCTGAGACCCTTTCACTCAATTTTTTTCAACGGTGCATGCGCTCGTTTTTTCCCGCGAAGCTCTTGGTAAGTAAAATCCATCAGAAAGTGTGAACAAATAACGGCTGGTGACCTTCCATGACCTAGCATGACCTTTTGAGTGACCACTGACCACCGATGACATGACCACTGACGGCTAGCCATTAGCTGCACCCTGCCCGTTGCATATGGATCAGGTAGTGATGTCATGATTCTGAAATTATATTGCAGTTTTGACGCACTTGTTAGAACAGAAGACATTCCCACTTTTCCTCCATGACTATATGATGGTGAAGCCATGAAGCTGACCAGACGTAAGATCGAAAATTTTAAAGTACGAAACGTAAGAATAGCTACTCATCATACCTAAGCAATTCGCAGCTTGTAGGAAACCAGCTTTAAGTTGGCAAGACTGCAAATTTTGATTTAGAGGCAAGGAGGCCTGAAAAGGTGATCGATCTTAAGTGTCCTAGGATAAGTTTGGAAACGGGATGCACCATTCGATGTGTTTTGGGCTTTGCCAAGTTTCACGGCATTACGTGCCTCGTTTTTTTTTTTGCATATACGATCAGTATCTACTTTTGGGATTTTCGGTCAGGCAAGTCCCCCGTCCCCCCCTATCGAAAACCCGTGGCGCCGCCCCTGGTAGGTACGAATATTTTATACGGCGTCTGCCATTATAGAACAGGGAACACATTGCACATTGATTGTGTATTTCATCACTGAATTCAATTCATAGAACACAACGTATCTTCACAGTATGCGATTGCCGCCGACTCTGAGTCGCTGGCCTTAATCATAACAATGGGTGGACTAGCACAGTATGTGATCACTGTGTCGGAACGGGTGTCTCATCTGGTGGCTGATGCGGACCCGACTCTCGGATTGGCGAACCCGACTCGGGAACGGACGGGTCCGGCTTGGGGACCGGCGGACCCGCCTCGTGGACTGGTGGGTCCGCCTCCGGGACCCGGGGGTCCGACTGGTGGATCCAACTCTGGGTCCGGCTCGAGGACTGGCTGGCCTGGCTCGGACCGTCTCGGAGTTCACACGACAGTTCAGTCCACGGCTCTCGTCAATCCATGAGACGCCTCCAACGGTGTGCCACAGCAGCTGCCGTCTACTTACCGGCCTGGAAACAACAGACGGTCCCGGTCAACCGAAACTCGGCTCACATATGGACTGCAGATGAGTGGAAGATGGTCTGACCCTGAACCGAATGGGTTAACCTGAACTGAACTGAACTGAGCTCTGATTTCGAACGATCCCACAGTGACACACCAGTTGAGGGTCATTAGATTTTAACCTGAACGGACCTTTTTAGATTTTAACCTTAAACGTTGACCTCGATTGGTTAATAGCTGTGACCTTGAAGGGGACATAGCTCTGACCTTGAACGGGTAGAGGAAGGTCGTCACTGAGTCGGACGAGATCTCGTTGCTGGCGATACACTGGTACTGGCCCATGTCGGACCACTGAAGGTCGTCGATGATCAAGTCCCCGCTGGGGGTCACCTGAAGCACCGGGAGAGAGGTCACGCCTGGTATGGAGGTCATCGGGCTAGGACGCCTATCAGGCACACTACACTGGGTAGAAAACAAATCCGCATAAGATATTTAGCCCCTGACTGACTGATCATAAGGGGCTGATTAACGGATAAATTAAAATATCGGCAGACCTTGACTCTGTAACCGTCGAACGATTTTTTGTCAACATTCCGTGATTCCCTGTCTACGTCGACCAAACGTGCTTCTACCATCAGAATTTCCGTGATTTCGTGAATATCATCTACCTACCGTGATTCTGCCCGATCCGGTCTCCAGCGGCTGGTAGTTCCGTGTCCAGCTAATAGATGGCGCTGGGAAGCCGCTGGTGATGCAAACCAAGCGAGCCTGGGTGCCCATCCTGGAAATGTTTTAAGCGCTACTCAGTACTCTTCTATTTATCTAAATGTATGCTTTCCATAGATTTGATAGGTAATCCAGCATTCGAATAAGGCATGCAGTAGCAAAGGCTTGGACATGGTACAAATGTGCATGCATTAGGATATCATTGCAAGGCACGTAATAGCTAGGTATGCATCGTGACCGTTTGCTCATTAGGCCGGCTAGGTTAAGTAGATAATTGTTGCGGCTGATTCGTTTCACTCACATGGCGAGAATCTTTGGTCGCCACTGGACGACGCGGACAGCCTGGAACGGCGAGCCCTTGGCCTCCTCGCAGGCCAGGATGGACTCCTCGCTCAGCGGCTCTGTCGTAAAATTAGTCGGTCGGGAGTCATCGGCTTAGACACCGATATGAGAAATTTAATCGTAATATTTTGAAAAAAGTTAAATATAGGGAATGCCAACCGAAATGCATTTCTGCCCTATCAGATGTAAAGGTTTGTAAGTGTTTATAGCATTTGGAAACATAGATAAATCAATTTTTGTCATTGCTTAATAATAATGCATTAATAATTCTATTGACTGCTTCCATAGTCAGACGTCATGCTGTTTTGTCCTTATTTTGGCTAATTCCTATGGTTACCTGTAACGTAGAGCTGCGTTGTGGAGCTGGCGACCTCACTGGGCGTTCTTCCTTGGCAGGTATACTCGCCCTGGAGACAGATGAACGGGTCAAATGTCTTATGTATGTAAACGGGTGATGAGCTGCGGGACTGCAGGTTCAGTCGCCGGTACGAACAAAACATAAACGGCGATACGGATCACACCCTGGCTCGGTCAGCTGTGCCTTATTTTGCAGAGTGTGCAGATGAAACTGAGGAGATTCCAGCTGTGAAGCGGAATGAATTAGTATGACCGTTTTGGTTCCAAGGAATTCGTTAAAAGAAAACAGTTTCTCTGTGACCTGGCCGACAGACAGGGCTGTTGAAAACATCAGTCTTTTTTTCCCCAATATAGTTTCCAATTGTAGCTGTTACTGATATAACGGATAGCCTATTGCTTCTGACTTTCTGAGTTTGCCAGGTTCGGGTTGGGGAGAGGTTGTCGGTCGATAATGTTTTACGTTTCATTGTTAGGTGTAAAATAGCCGTTTTCACGACGGCCATCTGGTACACATTTGGTGCACATCTGGTACAGATTAGGTGAAGATTTGGTCAAATCAGGTTCAGTGTGTCTCTTAGCAGCTATCAGCTAGGGTTGCACTAATTGCTTAATGCTTATATGCCTGCTTTGTCATATTATCAGAGAGCATCATCGATTAAAACACTGAAACATATTCATAAAATGAAGATATTTGCTGTAAAAGAAATTAGGTGCAGATTTGGTCAAATCAGGTGCATTCGCCGGATAGCCCGTCGTGAAAACGGCTAATATACGGCTTGCAAGTTCTAACAGAAAGTAACGTTCCAGACTTTAGTTGTAGCTACTGCGATCTTCGAGATATATCGTTGGTTTACTTTCAACAGATGACCGATTGTGTACGCATCTTTTGAAATGGAAACTACTTTTATTGAAACACCAGCCCAGTCTCCATTATTATCCACCAGGTACCAGATACCTATTTGGTTTGGTATTATGGTATTATGTAACAACAAGCGAATACGTAAGACGGCAGCTGACCGGTTGTTTTGCCAGTACCGTTTCCACCTTTCTTTGACCCTGAGCGGTAACGGTGCCAGTGACAGCCCCCGGCCCGACATTTCGTCGTGGGTGCAGACCCAACGGCAAACCGGCTTTACCGATATCAATTTTTGACACCGTATTTGGGAACAGTCGTGTAATACCCGACACGAATACCTTTACCAGGGCACCGGTTACAAGGGCAATGTGTTTCGATGGCTGTATCTTGATTCGTGAGACGCCTTTACATGAACGAAGGCTTTATTTTGTACCGATAAGCATTCCTGAAGCTTCACCATTCGTTTTCCCTTTTCCAGATGCCAAATAGGACCGATTTGGTGAGCCCTCCACACATTGCTAGGTTTCAGCGACGATGCTTTGTTCTGGATGGCACGATAGAAATGCCCGTTTCTATTAAGCCAGCAGGGGACGCCCATTTGTCTGAGCCCGTGGACAAGGAGGCTGATGCATTGCAAGCCTTTGTAACAGACAGACGTGTAGAAGTTTCCTTGGATCTTTCCCTATTACATGGATTGATTATTCCTGTAGGTTGCCGTGCAATCCATTGGAGTGGCCGTCTGGCGCCATTCGATATACTGAAGCCCAATTATATTGACCGCAAATTTGCCTGCACCAATATCGCCTTTGCAAAGGCCTCATTTAACTTTCGAATGCTGAATAAATCGAATCACACATAATCCCAGCTAGTTATTTTCTGGTGTGCCCTGATCTGGAGATTGGGTAATTATTGGTATCTGATACCGATGCTGCTCAGTGCTCACGGCGCGGCGGCCACGAAGGCTGACCTGATCGGAGGGGCTGACACAGTCGAGGTGCCAGACTGACCTGGTCGGCGGGGCTGACACGGTCGAGGTACCAGACTGACCTGATCAGAGGGGCTGACACAGTCGAGGTACAGCCGGGCGCGGGTCGCCCCGATACTTGTGGCCGAGTCCAGCGGCAGAGGCTCCATACCCGACAGCTCGCTCCGCAGCTCGGCGAGCTTGTCACTCGCCCGGTCCTGAAGACATGTTACATGAACATTTCAAGGTTCTTCGAAAAAAAAGAAGAAAATAGTTCATTTCATTCACGGTTGTCATTCCATTCACGGACGGTTGTCATTTTTAAAGATGTGCTTTCGCCAGATATTCTGTATAGTGACGAGTGACGACATGGCATTGGTATATACCGACTGTGTGCGGCACCGGCCTCGCGTCTCACCTGGGCATGGACGGCCTTCCCCCTGAGCCACTGGACCACAGGCGGCGGTGAGCCCATGAACTCGCACTCAATCATCGCTGAGCCCGACTGGCGGGTCGTCTTCAGCGGGCCGGTGGCCTCCCCCAGCTGTAGGAACTCGCCTGCGGGCAGCACGGGGACATACAGACACGGTCAGCGGGCCGGTGGCCTCCCCCAGCTGTAGGAACTCGCCTGCGGGCAGCACGGGGACATACAGACACGGTCAGCGGGCCGGTGGCCTCCCCCAGCTGTAGGAACTCGCCTGCGGGCAGCACGGGGACATACAGACACGGTCAGCGGGCCGGTGGCCTCCCCCAGCTGTAGGAACTCGCCTGCGGGCAACACGGGGACATACAGACACGGTCAGCGGGCCGGTGGCCTCCCCCAGCTGTATAGGAACTCGCCTGCGGGCAACACGGGGACATACAGACACGGTCAGCGGGCCGGTGGCCTCCCCCAGCTGTATAGGAACTCGCCTGCGGGCAACACGGGGACATACAGACACGGTCAGCGGGCCGGTGGCCTCCCCCAGCTGTAGGAACTCGCCTGCGGGCAGCACGGGGACATACAGACACGGTCAGCGGGCCGGTGGCCTCCCCCAGCTGTAGGAACTCGCCTGCGGGCAGCACGGGGACATACAGACACGGCTCCGCTGGGGAGGGGTATCGGGTATACATTGGACCCGTTAGTGTCTGCTGACTAAGGCGAATTCGTCATGGGTGCTAATCGCCTAATGCCAGCATCAACGCCTCAGATACGTTGTTGCGATACTCAACTCTGAATTGCTTCAGTTGCGGTACTGAATAATCCGATTGCGCTTTAGTGAGGCTGTTTCGTGCAGCAGAAGATGTCGGTATTGCGAACTTACCCAGTTCGGTAGATGCAGGAGCTCGTCTGCTCATCCGACCTGGCGGTGCCCTCGCTAGGATCTATATGGAAATGGTCAGTAATGAAGTTAGTGAAGGCACATTTGCCTCGGCTTGAATAAATATTGCAATCAGTTACCTCATTTACGATTCGCTATTGGTACGGAAACTCGGGACGGAAAATAGAAAGAATGCCACGGGAAGATAGTTTTTATTTAGTTCTGTCAGGTGTTTGCCTACATTTAAACAAGTCAAGCCAATGGGTGGCCGCTGTCCTGGCACTATGCAATAATTTTTCACAGTTATTTCCTTTAACATGACTGTGCAACATAGCGGCGAATACCTGTGATGTGATCGCTGTGAGACAGAGCAGCAGCCGCACCGCCCATCGTCCCACGGAGCTGGTCATCCTGCGGGACACAGCCACGTCGGTCACCGGGAGTACATCCAGACACCGTTAAACATTCGGACAGGCCCGCCGAGATACGGCGACACCCGTGTACGCTCGGCCGCCGAATACTGACACCTCGGCCGCCACTGCCATAACGGACCGACTACGCATTTAGGCGGTGACATCGGCGCCTCAAATGGCTACCCTACACGTGTCCATGGATGATTGAAGTCGTGTCAGACGGGCCCGCGCTCGTATGATAGCTGGGGTCCGCGCGACGCTGGACAAACACCCAATACCGTTCGACTGTGGTCACTCGTCTTCATGCAAATGTATCGTACTATGCAGTGGTGCAAACCCTAATCCATGAAGCCGCCGTTCATCTTTTCTTTTTCAACACGAGATAGACACGAGGGGTTGGTGCTTTGGGCCTGATTCGAGGTATTTCTCTCACTGCGCTCCATGAAAGCTAAGATGAAGGGGTTCATGCCACGGCTATAAAATAATTATTGGCCAGAAATACAATGCGCAGTAGGTGCATGGGGTGAAGAATTTCGACGGATTCCTGCATCACCATTGCACTCCGCTTGTGACGGCTAGGCGAGAACAACTTACTGACTGCCTATAGCCTGATGCACGCATGCATAATACAGGTAGAGAGGAGTCCAGGAACCTGAGGCGACGGACGGGTACTTCCCGTGAGCAGATGGTGGAGGCCCAGTGGGGACTGAAATTATGCTGAGCTGACTAGCTGCCTGCAGGGAAACTCAGCGCTCTCAGGTGCAGCCCAGCCGTGAGTTTTAAAAGGGACGACCCGCCTTAACGATACATTGCTAGTTAAGACCCCCAGAGGTCAATCAAGGACCATTGAAAATATAGACGTAAATTATACGTTCCAACTCGCTAAACGTATCCTTAATCCTGTGGTGACTAAGAACGATTTGACCCCAGGTCATCGTTGCAAGGGATTGTTCTTCGTTCTATAGCTGTTTAGGTGCGCGCTGCCGTCTGATCGCGTCGATGTCATTCCATGCTTACCAAACGTTCTTAAGATCCTTCAAATTTTCGTAGCCCGATAGCCCGGTAACAGGAAGGCCTCACAGTATTTTGCAGCACTAGATAAGTAAATGAGACAGTGATTTTGTGATGTCATTAAAACAAGTGAATTATTTGCATGTTTTGTTTCTTCGTGCTATCATCGCGAAGAAAAACAAGGTGTCTTTCTTAGCGAGGTTATTAAATACAGTTTGTGAGTATTTTTAGCCTATCAACATCGGTCAACTGTTAACGTGCCTATGATGTATACGGTGCTGAACATTGGACACTGCACATGGTGAACACGCCTCACCAAAGTTAGCCGACTGATACTGCAGCAATGCGCGCGCCCGCAGGTCTACGCAAAAAAAAAGAATAGCGAGCGCTGTGGCGACCAATGCTGCCTAACGGTCGGAGCCTGACATTCAGAACTGAGGGCACTGATAACACCGAGAACTGACCTGAACTGTGCTGTTGTGTCGGCCGGGGGACGTCCGATGGCGGTGTGGTCTGCCCGGGGCTCTGTGCTGGTCTCCGGCCGGAGGTGGCGGCCCCGGATATATGGGGAGCGCCCGGCCGCCCCAGCGCAGGCGCCCAGCCACCGCGGTCTCCCCACGGCGCCAGCCAGCCGGTCCGCTGACCGCTCTCAGCCGAGCCGGCGGCGCGAGACAGCTGTGAGAAGCCGGACATGGCCCCCTCGTTATCTGGCCCTGCCGATGGTCAACTCCCTGACAGGCGTGCCACGGGGAGGGCCTCGTAATTACGTTTTGGGTAGGAAGTGGCAACTCGCGTGACAATAACGTCGTTTCCCGACCCTGGCCGTGCTTCTGAACGAAAAGATGCATCGCTTAGGCTGAGAGGATTAGGATATGATGAGAAAAGGAAACGGTGCAGTTGAAATTTTGAAAATGTTAATGATTTTAAAGCATGCCGAGATGTCCGCTATGCGTTAGCGTAGGTGTGTGCGTGTCAAAAAAAAAAAAAAACATTACAGACCATTGCACTGACGGATCCAAGGGGCCCCCTCGCATCGCCCAATGTCGATGAAAATTTATGGTTTCTCTTTAATAGAATGAAAAGTAAATAGCTTTTATTGGAAAAATAGCTTTTAACCCGCGCCCCGCTGGGGGGGGGGGGGGCGTAGAATCTGCCCCCTCCCGTTTTTCGCCAATAACTTCTAAACGCGTTATGCTAGCGACGCCAAACTTTTAGTACCTTATTAAACATCAATTTAACACGTTTCCTGAAAATTTGAGCGAAATCCGTCGAACAATTTTTGAGAAAATGACGTTAAAGTGACGTCATGTCACCCATTTTCGCCTCAAAAACGGCAAAATTTCAAACGCCGCTAACATCTTCATTTTTAAAGGAATCAAGACGTTACAAAAAGATTATAAGTGATTCTACTTTGTCTATCTAATGACTATCTCGGTTTTTGAAAATTTTGGATTTTGTCCCCTTTTTTGTTAAAAAACTGACTTTTTTGGGAAAATAATTATAAAATCCAAAAATTTTTAGTGTATCGCAAAAAAAAAACAGAATATATGTCAGAGAAGTATTCTATGTGAACCCACATACCAATTTTTAGAAGAATCGGTTTAAAAATGTGGGAGTTATTAAAAAATTTATTACGGATCACCACACACAAATTTTTTGAAAAATATTTTTTTTGGAAATTCTAGACCTCGTACGGAAACAAAAATAGCACCATTCGATACGCCGTAAAAAACTGCTTCAGATAGACACCTTTTTAGGTCGTAACAACCAACTTCAAAATTTGACCTCACTTGACCTGACCTTGACCTGACCTCGACCTGAAATTCATCCATAGGTGGTCGATATCACTTATTGAGTGTGCCTATTGAATTTTATGAATAAAATGACCCATAAAACATGTGTCGCACATGCCCTTTTCCATATTTTGTTTTTGGTGACCTGACCTGACCTGACCTGACCTTGACCTTGACCTTTGAATGCTATTGTATGCAACGAATATTGTCTTGGTAGTCTAAGAACACGTTTTGGGCAATCAGTCTCAGTCCATTCTTCGGCAACTACGGTGCAAGACCGATACTTTTTTTTTTATTCAGGCCACCCTCCAACGGGCACTTATTTCCCATTTACAGGAGGGCTTCTCCTCCTCCTGACCCTTGTTCCCCCACCCCCAGGCTACGGCTGAAGTGGGAGCCTACCCCACACCTGGTGACACAGCCGGGGACGACGCCAGCGGAACGGGCGGAACCGGGAATCGAACCCGAACCCGGCACCGCCCGCACCGCGGGTCGACGCCATAACCGACTGCGCCACCAGGGCCAGGGCCTATTTTAACATGTTAACTGGGGTGGCAAAACCCACCCCAGTGGTGCGGTTTTCCACCCCAGTCGTCTTACTTTGCCACCCCAGTGAAAAACAGCCCAAAAGTCCGCCCACATATATTGGCTGCCGACAATCACGGATGCGACACATTCTTGGGGCGCAACTCAGCTTGACAGGGGGAAAAGGGCTCACTGAGGCGCCACCACCACCAATGGGGGTGCCCTCTCACTACTGGGGGTGCCCTGCCGCAAGTGCAACTGTGGCGCCCTACTTCGATTGGGACACACTACCGGCAATGGGGCGCCCTACCAGCACTTGGGCGCCTACCACGACTGAAGTGTCCTATCAACATTGGGGCGCCCAGACACGATTGGGGCGCCAACCACCTTTGGGCGCCCTATCAGAAATGGGACGCCGTACCACTACTGCGGCGTCGTAACACTACTGTGACGTTCCGCTGGTGCTGGGGCGCCCTAAGTTTCTGGTGCACCCTACCGCCACGAGGCGCCCTACCACCACTGGGGCGCCCACCACTACTTGGGCGCCCTACCACTACTCCGGCGCCCTGCTACAACCGGGGCGCCCTACCATCACTGGGCGCCCTGACACAGCTGGGGCGCCCTATCACAACGGGTGCACCTTACCACAACTGAGGTGCCGTACCACTACTGGGGCGCATTTACTCTAGCAGTAAGTCAAGTAACTAACTCGCCCTTACTGCCACTACTGGGGCGCTATGCCACAACTGAGACGCCTTACAACCAGTGGATCGCCCACCGCTGTTTGGGCTCAATGCCGCTACTGGGGCTTCATTACACTACTGAGGGGTGCCCCGTCACGCCTGGGGCGCCCTACCGAGACTGGAGCGCCCTGTCACTACTGGGGCGCCCCTCAGGGACGCCATACCGCTACTGGATTGTCCTACTATTCAGGCGCCTTACCACAACTGAGAAGATATCTCGGTTGAGGTATCAATGGCGCATCGATGACAAATAGCAATATACAAATTACAACACTGGTCAGTGGTCACCAATGCATCTTTCTTGGCATTACAGAGCCATAAGCTCTTCAAAATCTGGAGAGCGTCTCGAGGCAGTGGCGTGGCGAGATATTGGCCGCAAAATTGAATTGTGATGTGGCTTTGAGACTGGCCGCGTGATCAACAGCGGATTTTCAAACGCACGTGCACGCATTGCTTCTGACGAGGGTATTTCCAAGAGAAAAATCTGGCGGGCGGCGGTTTAATCCTCGCCCGTATTGGTGTTTTTCCAGCCGCGGACGTATAGGGGAAGGGGGGGGGGGGGCGTTAGACCCCCCACCTTGCCGTTTTGCCCCTGATTGAGCTAGAGCTTCGCGGAAAAAACGAGCGTGTTGCCCGTGACGAGAGAAAGCCGATGATATCCAATTTTAAGGTCCTAGGTCATCGGTTGACCTTCCAGGTCAGATCAATGACCCAAAAGTCGAGAAAATCGGGACCTGTTAGAACGTCGTAAAGGGTGGCTCCTATGGGGTTTTTCGGGGTGCTGATGACGAATATCATGTTAGTTATGATCATAGATGATTCTTCATGCATTTAGGCCAGGTCGGGTCAGGTCAGGTCAGGTCAACCGGTAAGGGTTTTGCCGGGTATTCGTAGTAAGTGGCAACCGCCTCTGACAGCTTCGTAACATGTAGTGAAGGCACCAAAACTACATCGTTAATGTTCAAATGATTGCTAAATTCGAATTCAGCTCCAAAAACTAGCCTAGAAACAAGTAAAACTCCAAAAAGTGAACTGAGGACATCAAAGATCAATGACCTGACCTGACCTTCCAGTGACCTTGACACCCACCCTAATGCTGGCATGGGAGCAACATCATATCACATGCTTGAACGCTTGAAACCACGAAAAGACTGCAAACGCGCGCCTAATGCGAGCCGACACGCCGAATCGCGATTCCGACCAAACATGGTCTTGAAAAGTAGGTCACTGGTCAAAGGTCATTAGGGTCAGGGTCATAAAATTTTCAGGGTAGGTGTAAAATTGATTATCGTGAGGGTACCAAAAGTTTCGTCGCGATCGGTCGCTTTTTACGCGAGTTATTCGCGAAAAACCGAGAGGGGTCCGTTTGACCCCCTCCCCTATCCTGGCGACCGGTTAAGTGACCTCGAGTGACGCCGCTGCCTTGGGATGGGAAGGTGTTTTGTTTATCATGGACGGATCGGGGGGGGAGGGATTTTAGGGCCATCGGCATAAGCAGTAAAAGTTCTCTGACGAAAGGGGGTTGCACCATGCACAGCCGACTTTTGGCTGAATTCTTTCCATGCAGCGCCCGAAAGGGCTATGTTAGAAAAAAAAACTATGCCAATAAACGCCTCCAGACACTTTCCCGAAACATTAGCCCTTACGTACTACCGTCACAAATAAAAGATTAAAAACTATGCCAATAAACGCCTCCAGACACTTTCCCGAAACATTAGCCCTTACGTACTACCGTCACAAATAAAAGATTCTGAGACTCGATTGTGTCGCCCCCCCCCCATCGAAATGCTGCGCACATCAGCATTTCGGTGGGGGGGGGGGCCACACAAGAGACAGGGGCGCCACCACTGCCTGGCCACCCCAGTCAAATTGTCTTAAAATAGGCCCTGACCAGGGCCGCATGCTGTTTACCTACTTAAGCAAAAACATTGGGCTCTTAAGATCCGCCTTGTTAAGAGCTTTCGATTGCCGTTTTCCCCGTCTTTCTACGACCATCGGTTCGGAAGTTAGAGGGGGGGGGGGCAGAATCTGCCGCCCCCCAGCAGGGCGCGTATGGCTGAATAGCCCAGCGGGCACGGGTTAACTGAAAGTAGTGCACAATGAATGGGAATCACAGAAGTTTTTGGAATTTAGAGAAACGTTCTGGAGGTATGCACTGTGCCCTCTCCAAAGCGTCCGAGGGGCCTTCTTTCCGGATCTGCCTACGGCTCTTTGATCTTGTAAGACATTTTTGAGCATGGTTAGCACCTTTATCCAAAAGAAATGTAAGTATTACGAATAAATGCGATTAAGAAACGGCACAATTGCATACGATTGAATTTGCGGGATAGTGTTAGAAAAATAGAGCCACTTTTCGAATCCACTTATTGAAACAAGCCCCTTTCATTCGGTATGTGTTCTACAACATCGCTCTCTTACCGTATTTATGGGTATTGTGTATGATTGGATAGATCAATAGCATCATATATCCGAGATGTCATATGGCACTGTGAGTATTTTGGGGTACACAATACGCATTTTATATCATGTGACACCACAGTCATTGTAAATCACATTTTCTCATCCACTGATGCTGGTTTTTAGTTTTTCCCACATTTCTCTGATTCCGATTTTATCAACTTCTGTAGACT